GGGAGGGGCTGAATGGCCTCCCGTTCCTGTGTAACAGGCTCGAGGAGGTGGAGGGGAGGGGGCTGAATGGCCACCTGTTTCTGTGTAATGGGCTCGAGGAGGAGGAGGAGGAGGGGGCTGAATGGCCTCCTGTTCCTGTGTGAGAAAGCGTTAGGGAGGGTGCCCGTTAAGGCCCATGTGTGTACTTACTCGATGCCAGGGCCTCGGTTTCCGTTGAGGGCACCTTGTAAATCTTCCCTCCTTTATACACAAAGCTCCCCTCCACCACTTTAAAATCCAGATATCGGGTCACTTCCGTGTAGAGCAGCATCCTCACCAACTGACCTGGAGAACCCGAGAGAGAGAGAGAGAGAGGTGGTGGGGTAGTGGGGGCGCAAAAGGAACTGGAATTAATATCCCGAAACTCACAAAACACCTCTGGGGCTGGAGAGATATACCAGGATGTTGCCTCTGGGGCTGGAGAGATTTACCGGGATGTAGCCTCTGGGGCTGGAGAGATTTACCAGGATGTTGCCTCTGGGGCTGGGAGAGATTTACCAGGATGTTGCCTTGTCCTGGAGAGATTTACCAGGATGTTGCCTCTGGGGCTGGAGAGATTTACCAGGATGTTGCCTCTGGGGCTGGAGAGATTTACCAGGATGTAGCCTCTGGGGCTGGAGAGATTTACCAGGATGTTGCCTCTGGGGCTGGAGAGATTTACCAGGATGTTGCCTCGTCCTGGAGAGATTTACCAGGATGTTGCCTCGTCCTGGAGAGATTTACCAGGATGTTGCCTCTGGGGCTGGAGAGATTTACCAGGATGTTGCCTCTGGGTCTCTGACCCCGATAACACTGAAGGTACGGCCCATATTGTAACCGATAGGGATGGCATGGGGGGGGTCTCGTAGGGGAACTTGGAGGGGGTGATGTTCATCCAACCTGTGTCTGCTGCCCCCTCGCCCATCCTGGGGTGGAGGTTAGAGGGTTGGGAAGGTGCTGTCGGAGGAGCCTCGGCGAGTCACTGCGGTGCCTCCTGTAGACGGTACACATTGCTGTGGCTGTCCGTCAGTGGGAAGGGGAGGGCGAGTTGAAGGTGGGGTTAGCGTGTCGATCGAGCAGGGGTTGCGGGGGGGCTGCTCTGCCCCTGGACGGTGTGGAGCTACTCGAGTGTTGTTGGAGCTGCCCCCTTCCAGGACAAGTGGGGAGTGTTCCCTCACCCTCCTGCCTTGTCGATGGTGGGACAGGGCTTTGAGGACAGGGCTTTGACCCTCCGACAGCGCCCGCTCCCTCGGCGCTGGCCCTCCCACAGC